CACTGGATACATGGGTTACTCTTTTCCTCTAAAGCAAGACAATGGAGAGTTGAGTCAGCTCCTGGGATTTACTTTGCTGGAATATTTGTGAATGATGTGAGAATTACTTTAGATAGGGAGAGTTCTACCTTGAACTTTGAGACAAATTTCAGAATCTTTGTTTATATTTAGGAAGAATTGGAAATTTTTCCCTATATCTTTCTTAGGGATCTTATTTTTACTCAGTTGCTAGTTTGAGAAAGAATAGAATCAAAGCTTCTCCATTCTTCTCCTGTACTAGGCTGTACTGAGTATTTTGTTAGAATGTCTATTCTTGTGACACTTTGTGAAGGTTGATGCCTAATCTCCCGGAGTCGGGTCATCTTCTCCTGTTAGCGGATGGATAACATAATGCAAAGCTTGTAAAAATAAGAGTAAATCTAAGATTCTTTGTTTTGGACAATGTTTGACACAGATGGTTATGAGAGTCCAGGTTTTTTAATTTTTATGAACTGAACCAGAAGTCCTGTCTGTTGCATTACATAACCATATAAGCTACTCATCTCTGTAGAACATAGAGTTGCATCTGTGGAATAAGGTTCTGGAATTGCCTTCCAGCAGGAGTAGTAGAGTCTTGTTGGGTTTTAAGCAGAGCTTGATTAGTGTATGAAAGAGGTGATATGCTGTGGTTTTTGCAGTTCAAGAGACAGGACTCAGTGACCTAGAAATTTCCTTCCAGTCCTATGTTCATCTTCCTGTTACTGCTGTAATTGATAGTAGATAGCATGAGGATTTGTGAGAAAGGTAAAGGCAAAAGTTTTCTCCAGTGATAGAATTCCTCTCAGAAAAAAGCAATTTTTCCAGAAAAGATGGTAAATGTTCACAAAAAATACGAATAGTACGTGAACTGAAAGTAATAGATTCATAGACGTTTGGGTTGGAAGATCATCGAGTCCAACCCCCCTGCCCTGGGCAAGAAAGAGCGCTGGGGTTAGATGACCCTAGCCAGGTACCTATCTAGCCTTCTCTTGAAGACCTACAAGGTAGGGGAGAGTACCACCTCCCTTGGAAGCCCACTCCAAATTCTGGCAACCCTTACCATAAAGTTCTTTCTGATGTCTAACCTAAATCTGCTCTCCATCAGTTTGTGGCCGTTGTTCCTAGTTACTCCAAGGGGTGCCCTGGTAAACAGAGCATCTCCTATTCCTTGCTGCCTCTTCCTCCCTCCCCCGCTGATGAATTTGTAGGCTGTCACAAGATCACCTCTCAGCCTTCTCTTGTGGGGGCTCAAGAGATCCAGGTCCCTCAATCTCTCCTCATAGGGCTTTGCCTGCAGGCCCCTAACCATATAAGTGGCCCTCCTCTGAACCCTCTCAAAGTTGTTCACATCCCTCTTGAGGTACAGTGCCTAGAACTGGACACAGTACTCCTACTGCGGCCTGACCAATGCCACATAGAGGGTAAGTATCACCTCCCTAGACCTGTTCGTCATGCATCTGCTAATGCATGATAAAGTGCGGTTAGCTTTACTGAACACTTTGTCACAATGATGATTCCTTCTCCCTAGGTGCAGCACTTTGCACTTGTCTTTGTTGAACTGCATCCTATTCTTTTCTGCCCACTTTTCCAACCTGTCCAGATCTGCCTAGATTCATTCCCTACCCTCTAGTGTGTTAACTTTACCCCAAAATTTGGTATCATCTGCGAGTTTGGACAGAGTGCTCTCCACGCCCTCATCCAAGTCACTGATGAAGACTTTGAACAGCATAGGTCCAAGGACCGAGCCTCATGGGACCCCACTGCCCACATCTTTCCAGGTCAATACCTACCTGTCCACCACCACTTTTTGGATGCAACCTCTAAGTCAATTTGCCACCAACCTGACCGTGTATCATCTATGTCATAGCCACTCACTTTATTTATGAGAATAGGCCATATCAAAGGCCTTCTTAAAAGTCAAGTAAATGATATCTACCTTCACTCCTGTGTCTAAGCATTTTGTGAGCTGGTGATAAAAAGAAGAAGGTTAGTCAGGCAGGATCTACCTGCTATAAATCCATGCTGATTGCCCTTCAGCATTATTTGTCCTGCTGGACTCCCACAAATATGATCCTTGATAATTTTTTCAAAGTTTTTCCCAAGGATAGAGGTGAGACTAATCAGTCTAAAGTTACCCAGATCTTCCTTCCTCCCCTTCTTGAAAATAAAGGGGACCCCACTGGCTGTTTTCCAGTCCTCTGGGACCTGACCTGAGCACCATGAGTACTCAAACAGCTGTACCAGTGGCTCTGCTATGACATTAGCCAATTCTTTCAGCACCCTTGAATGAAGATCATTCAGGCCTGCTGACTTAAACACATCCAATCCTTCCAAGAGCCTCTTCACCAAATCAGCACTAACAGTTGGTGGGCTGGTGTCCCTTTTGTGCCTGTCTGTGATCCAGTTGGGAGATTTGTCTTGATCCATGTTCAGGAATAGAGAAGCAAAAAACTCATTAAGGAGCTCAGCCTTGTTCCCACTATCTGTCGTTTGGTTAAACAGGCTTAACTTGTTAAATAGGTTTAACTTGTACCATCTACTGATGTATTCAGCCTATGCACTACATTAACTTTGACTTGTGTCCATTTGCCAAACTATAGTTTCCAGTGTTAGGAGAACCTTCTGCATAAAATAAAGATGGCATGAATTAGCACTACCATCATGGGCCTGGGCTAACTACAGCTGCTCGCCACAGAAAAGGACAGAGAAAAAGGAGAGAAGGCAGAATGGCTGGACAGCATTTCCAGGAGAGGAAGAGTGGAGGGGATGTAGTAGCAGGGACATGTGCAGAGGTGGAGGAGGAACAGAAGAGCTTATATAGAGCAGGAGATGACAATAAAATAGTGAACAAGAGTATGATTGTCCCTTTAGAGGGAAGACAAAATGCATTACATTTAGATAATTGCAATAGTTGCCCTTGGTGTAAATTGTTATAGCTGGCCAGAAGGGTCAAACGTTTCAAATCAAACCTTTCTGATTAGTAAGGTAAGGCAAACTCTCTGCAGAACAAATTGGTGCATTCTATCCTTTGTCTCTACAGTATTTAAACAGTGCCTTACTTTGTCTAGTTCAGTGTTTTCCTCTATAAATTCCCTTAGATATTAAGTTGGCATGGGCTAAATCTTTTATGCTTTGTTTAGAATAGTTACAATTATATTGTATTTAATGGAGGACTTGATAAGATGTATGTGTAAGACAAAAAGGGGGTTGGAGATACCTCACATAAGACATTGGTATGTGCATCCAGCATTGTTTTCTCCCTTTACCGTTCCTGCTCACAGCTAAATATCTATATATTTGGGACTTCTGGACTTACAGTAATTACTATTTTTCTCATCTGTTTCTACTGTCCTAAACTATGTTTAAATATTTTATTACAGAGAGCATATGAGTGTCTATCCTCAGGGTGCTATTGAGTGTTACTAACTAACAGGTATGGTCACTGCATTGAGAAATTCTCAATCCAGGTCCCTGAAGCTGCTTCCTACAACCCCTTGCATCTCACCCCAGTTTTGGCTGCTGCAGGTTTCTGTTTTTAATACTTACACTTATAACTAATAGAATAATAGGACCTCTATTTTGCCAAAGTTCCAGGAGGCTCAGTGTTTTGCTTTGGATCCATCTATAATATTAACTTCCAGATTACAGCTCCATCCAACAATACGAGCGTGATGGAACTCAAGAAAGAGAATGCTATTTAGATTAGATCTCAGGATGTCAGAACAGTGAGGAAGTGGAATAGACGGATTGGGGAAGTTGTAGAATCTCCTTCATTGGAGGCTTTCAGACAGAGGGTAGATAAGCACTTTAGGGCCTTTTCAATTACCTCTGCTTTTTTTTAACTCTCCCCACCCTTTCTAAAATATAGTCTATGAAATATTTTTACATACAGTACCATTTAACATTTTATAAATGCCTCCCTGTATCTTACATATTTCCCTTTCAGTATAGTCTGTAGCATGTTAATCTCATCCATCAAAACTCTGAGGTTTCCCCTACCTATCTACTCCTGTACATGAAACTAGGAATATTTGGGGACATGGGAGGGAGAGGAGAATACATACCCAGAATAGCATTTTAGATCTAATTTCCCTCTTAGGATATTTTCCAAATAATTGTTCTAAACTTTCCTTTGTTTAGTCTTATCCTATCTCTTCTAGCTAAACTTGTGTGTCCCTTTCCCCCACTTAGTGCTTATTAACATAGCCAAATTGTGATCTGCTAGCATTGTAAACCTACAGTGAATCCACAGTCATTCACCAAGATGCTTCTGATTTGCACTGGTGTAAGGGGCAGCAGAGTTTGGTAGCCCCTGTAGGAACTTAGTTTCCTTTCCGCTACAGTAGTTTGTCTAGCAACTCAGAGAGTTTGTATTAAAGAAAAAAATGGAAAATGGCCAAAAAGAAACAAGCACATGGCAAGTGGCATTTAAACTGGCAAATACACATTCTTTGCTGCATAAATACATGGCACATTCTGGCCAGTGAAGTCAGTGCCTTCTCTGTATACAGTATACAGGCTGACATGAATTTTGCTTCAAATGATCCTAAGGTTAGACAAGAGCTGAGGGTCACAAAAAATGTTGAGCTGAATCAGGAAAAATGATATTCCAAGTAATGTAAAATTAATTTTACATTGGTAATGTGGCTTCCATGCACAATACAGTCAAATAGCTTATGTCTCTGGCTGGTTTTCAGCTAATGGCATTTTGACATCTGTCTGTGTTGGGGGTTTTTTTGTTTGTTTTTTTTCCTTTGCATGAAGTGCAAGTCATTATAGATTGATTTTTGTTACCCTCTGAGATGGAAAGTCCCTATAACAAAAACCAGAAGACTTTTGCAGAGGGAGCCTGATAATATCTTTTTATGCTAGTTCTCCTTACTTTTTCAGTGGGAGGGTGTGATGTCATTCTGTCTCCTCCTACTCTGTAAACTTAGCTCCTGTCAAAGTTTTGCTGCCTCTGTCACAGAGAGAACAGTTCACTTAACTGCAGCAACAGTACCTTTTGTGATACCCATCAGCATCATTCATTGTGCAAGTTTGGGTTTGTAACCATGATGTCAAGATTGTTTTTTCTACTTTTCTGTGGACATGTTGCACTAAACCTGGGAAATGCTCAGAAATTGCCAAGAGGCAAGTAGCTATATGTGGTTTTTTGGCTTTTTATTTTTTTGGAAAATGCTTATGTTTTGCACTACAGATGTGTGTTCAGCATGTAAGGAAATATGATCTTAAAGATAAACGTAAATGGAGGTCAGCTTACAGGACAAAGTTAAGGTACAAGAGTTATTTAAAACTCTTAGACTTAAATGGAGCAAAGACATAAACATTACCATTGTATCTTGTGAATACAGTAAGAACTGCTGTGCAAGAAAAGAAAACTAAATCTAATGCTTTTGGGGTGGTTTAGGCAAGGCTGTGTAAGTTTGTAGTAGTAAGGCTTTCAAGGCAATGTGACAGAAATACACCCTGAATTGCAGGCAGGGGATCTCAAACTTGTTTTGGGATAAGTGTTTCTGTGCTTCTCATCCTGAGTAGGATTAGAGTTCACTTTTGCAAGTCAGTATGCTATCCCTGTTAAAGAAAACAGGGTTTTTTTTAAGAGTGAGTGTATTTGGAACTGCTGTACTCCCAAATGAAAAGGGGGGGGGAAACAAACAAAAAGAAACAATTTCATATGAATATTGTTTAAATATTCCCCTCTGCTGGACTTTGGAAGCAAGTTTTCAAAGTTAGAAGGGACCCTTTCCTTGTTAATGTGATCTGCACAGAACTGGCATTTTGTAAGTATTTTATTACTGCAAGAAAAACAGCTATAGTGCAAAATTAAAATCATATTTCTGAATCTAGATCATGAAGCACTTCGTAGCACCTTGGCACTAACTCAGTGCTATACTCCACAACCGATCGTGTGCTGCACGTACTGTTCTTCACTTGGTAGAAATGCCTGTATAAGTTCACTCTGCTTTGTAGACTGCTGCAGTCAGCAAAGTGTAGAGGAAAAGCTGTAGCTTGGTTGCCTAGGGCAAAGGAAAGCCACAAAGCAGCATCTCTGAGGACATCCTAGATGTTTCCATGCTGTAGGTGAGGGGGGACCTACAGGGAGTCTGGGGGTAGGGGGATAAAACACTGTTGTAGTAGTATTTTGTCAAGCTATTCCCTCTGAAAATGGCTGGATTTTTGGAACTGTTTGCCCTTCTGGAATTAAACAGTGATTGTTACTACTATGCAATTTGCTGGGTAAGAATAATAACAGCAGTGAAGTAATAAATGTATTGCAATCTCTAAGGGCTAATATAAGAGAATAACTCAATTCAAACAGAACTTTTAAAACCTCAGTCAGAACCTTTTGGATAGGTTTACACCACAGGCTTTATGTCCTTATGTGACAACAAAAATACCATTGACAAACTTGGAGTGTATTATGCTTAAGGTTATGCAGTGTTAACAAATACATAGTGTCTACTTCTGGAGGATGAAGCTATTTTAGTGCTCCAGCCATGCAGAAGGGGTTATTTGACTCTGTTCATTCCCATGGAAAAGAGTCCTATTTGTTTTTAGCTATTAATTTCTGGCAAAGCAAACAGCTTTGTCTTTATTATGTCGTGATCATTCGAGATAATCTCCAGAACATATTTTCTTCTCTTCTGAAGTATGATAATGTACAAATTCCAATGTATTAAAGCAGGTGGAATCACCGGGTTTTTAATTAATTGACTTCTGAGAAGTTCTCCCTTTTTGCACACTGGAAACATCAGACAATTCTTGATCCTTGCTACTGTCATTTCAACTGATTCTTTTTGTTGGGTTGGATTCACTGTCTATGGGTCCCTGGGTTATTTGGGAATGTTCAAAGATTTATGCTTTTGCTACATCATTCTTGTTTGATTGCAAGTACAGAGAGGTGCCCCCCCCCCCCCCCAAATGATTGTTATGTTTAGATTTTAAGCATGTCTAAAATAATAGTAGGTCTGTGTATTGGGCTGGAGGTCCCCATCTTCTCTCAAAAACATTCCACTGTCCTGTAAAGTGCACTGTATTAAAGCTTAAATGCAGATGTTGCTCCATCACAATTGCAAACAGCATAGTTAAGTGAGGATCCAGAGCTGCTCCTACTATACAAAGTACAGTAGAGTGAGTGACATAGTAGTCCCAGGGACAGACTGTGGCCACATTCATTTTCTAGAAATGGAATAGTCTGTGACAGCTCTTCAATATATGCTTTTTCATTCTTACTACTGCCTTGGAATCCCAGAGCACAAGTCTCCAGGAGGTGAAAAGTACTGATCCCTGACCTCATGTAGTGAGATTTCCTTTCAATGGTACAAGGTGGAAAGAAAATCTTGCCTCCTGCAGCTGTAAGGGAAGGGAGCCAAGAAACCCTTTCAATGTCCATGATTTGCAGAGCCCCAAGAAAGGTAGTTGTATGCAAATGTGCCATTTGGAGTGCTGGAGCATGCCTGACCCCTCTTCCAAGCAGTTCATGTGCTATCACCTCCACAGGCAAACCTCTGACAGAAACGTTGATAGATACGTGCAAAAAAAAAAGTTGCTATTCCCAAGAGAATTGCCTTTACTAACAAAAAACCTGCTTTAATTGTTTTGTCTTTTACTGTTGGTGTAATGCTAGAGAAGTTAATCAGAAATGAAGTTAATTATGTGCAGAACCTGACGTTAAAAGAAATTAAGGTAGCAGGCTCAAGGTTTCAAAAGTTTAGGAAATGCCAGTGTTAAGGTTTCCTGTTTTGCCTTAATTCTACCCATGTACACACATGCATTATAATCCTCTTGCCCACATAGGAATAGAAACCAATTTTCCCTGACTCCAGTCCTAACTCAAGACGGTTTGTCTTAAACCCAAGAGATCTTCTTTTCTCTCTTAGCTTTTTATAATATTCATTGTCAGTGTTATGAAAGTAATATGTGATCACATATTTAAAATTATAATTTGGTGCCCTGATGTATCTACATTAAAGTTTTACAAGCTCTGCCTTTTTAAAGGTACTGCAGGAAAGTTAGGTTAAAGCGTGTTTTGCATTTTGCCATGAGGGTACTGCCATTCACAGCCATCCTTGTTGCCTGCAAGTTTCTGATTCATGTGCCAGCTCCTGCGAAAACCCTCCAGTCTTTGCCTACACATTTAACCAACTATCTCATGAGAAGCCAGTGAGGACAGCATAGCACTGAGTTGAAGTGATCTTGGTAGCCTGTGTTGCTGAGTGTAGAGACTATATACCAAGCCAATTCTAGCTTAAAGTTTTGCCATTTCATGCATAAATACAACCATACTAATGTCATGTTGTGCAAGAAATCAGAAAGCCTTATAGCAGATCTAGAGACAGATAGCATAACCAGGTACAAAAGGAGACCAGATGAATTCATGGATGATAGATCTAGTAATAGCTGTTGAACAGAACGGTTGGAGATGTTTACTTTGGCATCTCTAAACCAATGATGGTGGATACCAGGGAGGGTAATGAATAGGGGCTAGGTAAGGACCTATGTAAATTGGGACAAGACAAATATTTTTTTGTGGCCCGCTCATTCCTACATTCCTGGGCATTTTGTGGCAGCCCACCCTTCACTGTGGATTGGCTAAGAGGCTCCAGAGACCCTGCCCCTCACCACTGATTGGTGGAGAGGGCTTTCATTCGTGTGGCCCCACCCCTTGCCACTGATTGGAAAAGAATTGCCAGTGGAGGAGGAGGAATGAGGGGGCAGTCACCATCTTGGTTGCTGCCCTACATGCTGCTCCACCACCCAATTCCTCCCCCCACAGAGGGCTGTGAGGCCAAGGAGCAGCGACAGTGAGCCAGCATTTTATTTTTAGTAAGTTTTAACTTTTTTCCAGGTGATTCCATGGGAAATAGTGGCAAACATCATTTTTATGGCTATCATGTAAACCACAAAAACTGGTGGTTTCTGCAAAAGCACAATCTAAGTAGGTTCCGAATGATATGTTACTTGATGTACCCAGTTTAATGCTTTCCCTTGATTGCATCCATCTCTGCCACTATCAGAGACAGGATGTTGGGTTATATGGACCATTGTTCTGACTCAGGATGTCATTTATGTTATATTCTTAGTTTAAAAATTGAAAATAAGCGGGTATTTAATTCAATATGATTTTGAGTAATGCAGAGTAACAATGCAAAGATTTGTATCCAATCTCTTTTATTCTGTCCCTAAATTTTAAATCTGTTGTAGAATTTGTAATTGTTTGCAGAAATACTGAGTCTTACATTTAGAAGCTGTCTGGGAAAGCTAGAGCTTTCAGGCATCTAAACAGGGGGTACCTAGTGCTCAATTATACCCAGAAATGTATGCACCACAGTTTAGAATAGTGGGATGAGTACACTAACAGGGTGTAAAAATGATCAGAAGTGAAGTTCTTGTCGATGCATGAAGTGTATAATTAAATCTCAAAGCTAACACCCCATGCAGATGAATAGAATGTTCCCATTCACATAAATAGGTTATGGCTCTTAATTGGCTCCTAATTAGATTGCTTGTGGCCCCACCCCTTGCCAGTGATTGGAAAAGAATTCCCAGTGAAGGAGGAGGAATGAGGGGGCAGCCACCATCTTGGTTGCTGCCCTACATGCCGCTCCCTCTCCAACTCTAGAAGATGGAGCTTTTACTGCGTTAATTGCTTGTGGTTCACATTCAAAATATATGCATCATAATCACAAGGATTGGAAACTTATTTTTTAATGATGGCATGGGCTTTGGAATAGTATTCCGTGTTATGTGGGGCTTCTGTGTATTATAGAGAAATGTGGATAAACTATAAAATGTAAGATGAAACTAAAAATTTGATACACTCTTAGGTATTGCAGTTCTTTTCATCTTCAAAAGTTTTTTAAATCATCAAATGCATATAGCGCTCATTTACATAGTAGGAGTGATAATCAATGCATATCACATTCATTTACATAGTTGGAGTGATAATCAACAGAAGAAGAAAGCTTGATTTATTGAAGGACTTATAGAGCAATTAGCATCTGAACAAGGGATAAAACTCTGTGAAGTCCCTGGCTCCCTGTCCTGCATTCAAACCATAGCTCTCACACATCTTTTTAATATTAAATCCTCTCTGATTTATCTTTTATGAGCATTTTGGCCTTAAGTTT